TTTCTCTCCCTGGAGGGTATCCCTGCAGGCCCCTGCCACTTAAGCACAATACTTTAAAATTAGGAAATGAGCTTCTTTCACATAAAGTTTGGGGACTTTTCAGAGGACTGCTTCTGTACTGGCCCTGGATCAGGTGAGTCGACACACAGTCCCTTGAAGAGACTCAGTTTGCCATAGCCCCACGGGTCTGGTGGATAGGTGCCCTGATGGTCTTCAAAGCTAGATATTTTGGGGTTCGTCTCTCAGGTGCTGATCTTAAAAGTTGGGGTGCCAGATGTGGAGTATGAACCCTTTGCTTCTTGGGGAGAAGCCCCAGGTGTTGAGTTCCCAACCGAGAGTGGGTTGCCATCTTGAACCAGAACCCCATACTGAATACTTTAAGCTGAAGGAGTTGGAGAAACAGCAAAATGGACCCCCTTCCCATAGCTCTTCTCTTCGGAAACAGGTCATAAAACCCCCATTCGAGAGACGTCCAACTTGTACCTAGAGGAAGGGAGTGTTCTTATCTCTGAAGACAAAGTGACACCACCAAGAAGAATCTGAACAAACAGGTCTTGCTCAATTTCCCCCAGTTTACTACACTTACCTCATACTTTCTGACCTATCATATTTTTACATGACTGGCCACTTCCCAGCAAATGTAGCATAAAAAGACTCAGGTTTATCTGTTTCTTCAGGTCTTCATTTCCTTATGAAGGCTCCCGGGTCCTGTAAAATTTATACTAAATAAATCTGTGTGCTGCTCTCCTATTAATCTGCCTTTGTCAGTTTAATTTTGAGACCCAGCCAGGAACTCTGAGTGGCTTGAAGAAAACATTTTACTACCTTACTCTAGCTTAACTCCAATTTATGTGCATAGACAGACACACACACACACACACCATTGTTCCTTCTTTTTACCACTCATATCATTTTCTCCATCTTCCAGTCCCCTGGTCAAAAATTTATCACATGAACACATAAATTTATTAACCTGTCGAAGCGTCAGAATGGAAATGGAATGGTGCCATTCGTAAATCACTATTTAAAAAAAAAAATTCTTTGCATTTCAAAAGTGATTTAAATAGATGTCCTAAATTTGGTTTGTTTAAAAAACAGTCTGTTCCAGAAAGTCTGTGACTAAGACATGAATAAAAAAACTAAAACACATTAAAGAAGTATTAGTGTACAGACTTAAATAATTGTGCATTGTTCTAAAACTTAAAAGGTCAGAGATCTTTGGGTCAGGGGAGAGAAAATTTCTCAATTGGAGAATATCCCTGTTGGGTTTATGTATTTCTCAGGAGCAGTGCTATTCTCAATTTTTTATTTGTTTGGTTTTGCTCTTGCCACAAAGGAAAAACGGAAGCTAGCCTCCTGGAAGGGCCAGGAGACTCCCGCCTTGAAAAGTTAGCTGCCAAGCACCAATTCTCAGGGGTAACCGGCACAGAGTTTCCTGGGAGGACTTGGTCATCAGGATCCTCCTGCGCCCAGGAGCGAAGGAGCTAAGGTGGGGGATACATTTGCCTCTCTAAAAAGGCTCCATAGGAGTTGGTTTGACTCTGCCTCAGAGATCGGATTAAACAAAGCACTATTTGGTAACAGTAGAAAGTCTGTCCAAAAAGTGCCCCTACATTTGCATGTATTTATTTACATTTTGTTCTAAAATCTCCATGCACTTAGGATTCAAGCACATCTGGCTATGGGGTGAGTCTCCAGGGTCCTTTAAATGGCAGAGGCGGCAGGCGGTGCCCGCAGTACCAGCGTGCCAGAGGCCGGTGGGCAGGAGCGGCCGCACCCGCTGCAGCCACTTGGGGCATTTTTGGTCACTCTCAGTGGGGGAGCCACTAAATTTGGCAGTGACCAGAGACCACTCCCCAAAGAGCCACAAAAGAGAAACGAGAATGGCACCTGTCCCATCACAGCGAAGGACCAGGACCGCTGCTGCGCGTGGATGACATTCCCCGGGGACACTGAGGACCAGGATGAAGCGGGTGGGGGGGGGAGGGCTGCGTCCTGCAGGCGGTCACATCAGGGACCAAGAAGCACAACTTTGCGATTGTATTGACGAACTCTTCCTTCCCTCCCCTCCCCCCTGCCCCAAGACTGGTGGGATACGGGACACAAAGGCGAGAACAGAGGAGTCTAAGGTGGTGGAAGCACGAGCTGTACATCTGAGATTGAGCTCCCAGATGGGGCACTTCGTAACAAGAAACGCTACCGGGCTCGCGGCTTTTGCTACTCAAACTTAGAAAGAATGAAATTCTCAGCCGCCTCAGCTCCTGCCCGAAGCCCCGCCGGCGCCGCGGGCCCGGGGCCCACCGTTCCCCAAGGGCGGCCGCGCGGGAACGTTCGCTCGCTTCTTCATTCGTGGACAGCGGCGCACGCCTCGAGATCCGTGGTTCGGCTTTGCTTCCTTGACCTGCGCCTTCCGGATCACCACTAATCGTTTCCTTAAAACCTGGAGGTGGCACCATTAAACCCTTGACAATGAAAACTAGATACGATCGCGACGCTCGAGGAAGGGAGAGCAGCTCCTTCCACGGTGGACAGAACCGTGCTGAGGAAACAAGTTGGATCTCGGGTCTCAGATTCCACATGTGTCACCTACTACTTGCAGGGTCTCGGACGTAACCCTAAGTCTTCTGTGAAATGGAAATAGGAATCATGTGTGCGTCTCAGAAAAATAGGGACCCGATGAGGGAAAGCGGCTGTCCTGAAGATTCTTCCCTTCCCTTCCACATTCCCTGCGGACAGGCGCCTTCACGCCCGCGCCCAGTCCGAGGGGGCCGCCGCGCACCACCCTCTCACCCGGCCACAGCTCATCACGGCCCAGGTGGACGGCTGAGCCGGGCTCGACCCGTCTGAGGTGTGTCCTGGTCGTCCCTCAGCTCCACTTCCCTCGTGCGAGCCTCGTTCTCAGGCAGGCAAGCCGCCCCGGCGGCTCAGGCCCACCGCCGCCAGCCAGCGTAATGACTCCCCCCGGGACTACCGCTTCGCTTCCAGTTCCAGGCAAACGCCCAGGGATGGTTCTGATGAGCCTGAATCGGGCCATACAGTTACCCCCAGCCCAAGTGCTGTTGCCAAAGGAATGAAGGCCCCATTTGATTCACCGGGGCCGGAGTCACGTGTTCTTCCCTGGCCTGAGGGAGGGTGTCAGCCTTACTGGCTTCATAGAGATTGAGGACTGGAGCAAGACAGTTTGCCAGGGGAAAATCAGGGGGTACTGTTGCCCAAAGAAGGGGCAAGTCATACGGGGAGGACTTTTAAGAGGTACTCCCAGCTCTTCCCACCATGAGCACCTGAGGTATCAAAATGAGAAGTAAGTTTTCTTCAGGCAGGAAGAACTCTTTACTGTAAAATGGGCAGAGTGACCCTAAGCCTTGCAGGCAGATGCTACCGACAGCCGGCCCTCGGCTGCGGCCCAAATACTGATGGCGCCCCGAGCACGGAGAGCACGCTCCCGGTGGATGAGTCAGTCACGGTCCTGAGGCGCAGCCTCCCCACCCACAAGCTCACTGCCAGTTCCCTGAGTCACCCCAAGCCCCACCCAACGTGTTGTGCTTTTCCCACAGTTCCCTTGAATCTCCCGGGACAGATGGCTGGCTTTCGGAGCTGAGGAAAAGAAGGGGTGTCTTTCAGAAACAGGAGTGCCTCTCCTGTGAGCAAAGCTAGCAGAAGGGCTGGTTCAGGTGGGTGGGGGTGGTAATTATTCTCTTGGCAGTTCCTGGTGCACTTAAAATCAGATTCTTTCTTATCAAGAATTGATTTCATATGTAACCTCTTTTTTTTTTTAATTTCTGTTTAAAAAAGAAACAACAGACAAAACCCAAAACCATATTCCATTCTTTCAGAGCCAGATAGCTCAGATGTCTCTTCCCTGCTCGAAGCTTCCCCTTCCATCCTCCGTCCCACGTACCTGAGAGGCAGCCTTAGCGCCCCTGCCCTGTCCACTCCCAGCACAACTTTGACGCCAGTTACAACGCTTCTCGTGTTGTTGGGTGGCTAACTGGGTGGCCGCCTGGCTGGTGCACCGGATGCGGGATGCCTCAGGAGGGTCCGGAATGATGCCCTGCTCTTCTCGTTCCCTTGAGTCTGGCACATAGAAAGTCCTCCCCAAATGTCTCAGTGAAAGAGCGAGAATGAGCCAATGGTTACCAGCGCTCGGGGCCCAATGTGTGAAAGATGATCTACAGTGGAGTGTCTTCCCAGAGGTCAGTGGGCCCCTCGTGAAGTAATGAAGCCTTTTGCTTCTTAACATAATCCTGAGTAGCTTCTCTACTGCAGATAATTCCAGGGACTGCTCTTGAGAGCCAAGAATATCCGCACTAGAAGGAAACCAATTTCGGTAATCGTATAGGATGATAGGCCTGAGGTCTTACGACTCACTTCAGGGGGAAAACCACAGCAGCCTAATTGCTGTCGTAATGCTCCATGTTTGGATCTAATATGAAACATTCACTAAGTGCTTTATAATTACTCTGCAATTAATTTAGATTCTTATGCAGTTGTGCTTTATGAAAAAAAATTCAGCAGTATAAATATAAATGATGAATAATAGGCAGTAGCTGACTATCAGGGTCTGAAATCTAACATGCAATGGGCTGTGTGATTTCCTCGTTTCTATTGGAAATCATTTAGAAGTGATTTAAAGGTGTCTGGAGAAGAGTAATAACATCCTATTATTCCAAATCATAACAATAAAAAAAAAAAACCCACAGTGAAAGAGAGAACAATTCAAATCTGGCTTACTGTGCCATCTTGCCATATACCCTGGGAAATATGAAGAAATTTTTTATTTACCCACCTTTCACTTCATAAATGTTAATTGAGCATCTACTGTGTGCTAGGCAATATGGTTTCCACGTGAAGAAGATGGTGAATGGAAAGGTAAGTCACTTCCCCTGAGCATAATGGGCTGAAGCTCATCAAAAGAAGTGAGGATTTCCAGCTTATTTACTTGTTCAAAATAATGTCTTCCCAAAGACCCTTCTTAATTTAATCTTGTGGTGTTCCCACAGCACCTGCCGCCTCACGAGACTTGCCACGTCACGTCAGTTTGGCCTTCAGTGTTCTCAATAACTCTTAATGTGGCAGGCGATTCTGGGTCTGATTTTGCACCCGGGAGAGCGAAGTATCTGAGATGACACCACAGGCCAATTATTGAGCCAGGCCCCAGACCAAGCTTCCTGGCCCTGACTCCGGTTCTTTTTCCAGTTCCTCTGCAGTTAAACAGGAGGTCAGACTGGTGCGGCTAAAAACGGCTTGAGAATTCAGCTCTGGCCAACACGTGTTATCGGGAGTCTTTCTCAAATGTGATCTCATTTATATGCGGGTGGGGCCATGGAGACATTGAAGGATTGAGACTGTGATCTTTGGCACCCATCCTTCCCTCCAGTTACATGACGAAGACTTTCCCCATTCACGGAACCCAGCCAAGGAAAGATGGGGTTGGATGCAGAGCACCGCGGGTAAATCGGGGGTCCCTGATGCTGCAAGCTTCCGACAACCACCACGAAAAATGCACTAGGTTCTGGAATCCTTGGATACTGCTTAAGAGCTCATCTGGCTCTTCAGAATCAGACACAAAAATCAATGACACGTGTCCTTGAAGAAATGAAAGCCCACAGGCTTTTAGCTTTGCCGAGTTAAGATTTTCCTCAAGTGTTCCTCAGCCTGCAGCTGGTATTTAGCCTTCTTAAGTGAGCCCTTCAGCCCCAGTGCAATATCAACGGACAGAACTGAGTGGCCACCGGAGAGTCCCCTCCTCTCCGTCCCTCTGCCTTCTCTCAACTCTGGGGCCGGAAGCCAATGGCCTCAAATAAATCCTCTCAGTTTACAAGACCTGGTGAGTGTAAACATCACTTACCGGAGCCATTCGCCTGTTAATGCCTTTTGCGTGGGTCCATATCTGAGTTGGCGATCTCTTGCAAACTCCAAAGAGTCATGAAGAAAGGAAAACATTTCCTAAGGGTAAGTGATATAATGCTACTGACTGAGTCGTCTCCCTTTGGAATATGTTGAAGCCCCCGTATCCAGGTCTGTGGAGACGGGGCATCTGGGGACGTAATTAGGTTTAGGTGACATCATGAGGAGAGAACCCTCATGGTGGGATTAGTGCCCTTCGAAAAAGAGACACCAAAGAGCGTGATTCCTCCCTCTTTCTCTCTCTCCACCTGCCTGCACGGAGACACGGCAAGAAGGCAACTGTGTGCAACACAAAGATCGAGCCCTTGCCAGATGCTGAGCCTGCTGGACGTCCAGTCTCCAGCACTGTGAGAAATATATTCCCGGTGTTGGGGCCACCCAGGCTTAAGTCTTGTGTGGTGTCCGCACTGAAGAAGATAGGTCATATAGGGGAAAGGGATGAAATGTAGCACCAGAAAACCTGGCTCATCTCTTGTTCTTACTTAACCTCTTTGTGCCTCAGTTTCTTTATCTGCAGAATGGGGGAATAGAAGTCCCCTCATGGCCAACATCACGAGGTCGTTGTGAGAATCCAGCCAGAGGAGGTTTGGGAAGGGTTTTGTAAACTGCCAACAGAACGGCTTTTTTGCTCTTCTGTTGGAGATCTTTAATAATGTGTTGCTGGGAATCTGCCACTACAGTTGAAATCCCAAAATTGTTTAGGCAAAAGAAGTAAAAATAAAAATGGGAAAAGAGGTAGGTTAAGAGCTCTACATTTTTTTTTCTTTTAAATGCTGCAGGGTTGAACTCATGCATGCAAATTTTTAAGTGAATTTTTATGATTTGGTTGTCTAAAAATCTGATAGAACTTTCAAAATCTTGTAGAGTTTCTTTATTAGAACTCATAAAATTATCGTAATTCTACTTGTTTAGATTATGTGATTGTGTTATATTTTATAGTGTTTATATTTTATATTATATAGCATTTTCTATGACATTGGGGGCAGCTAATTAAATTGATATGCAGAATCTGACAAATAATTGGCAAAGTAGTTACTGTATTTCATATACTGTAACTAAGATATAAGTGACCTGAGGTTAAATTGTACCTGTTTTTCAGGATTGAATTTATCCTATGTTATCACAAATGACAGGGTGGCAGCATGTGATACTTCAGCCCAGCTCTTATATAGACTTCTTTTTTGATTTTTTTAAAATAATTTTTTTAATTTTAGAAATTGAGATTTATAGAAAAACTGTGAGGCCAGTACACAGAGTTCCCATAAACTCCACACCTCGTTCCCCCTATTATTAACATCTTTCACAATAAATGAACCAACATTGATAACATTTTTATTAACAAAAGTCCATACATTATTGAAATGTCCTTGGTTTTTATCTGCTGCCCCTTTTTGGTGCCAGGCTCCCATCCAGGGTACCACAGCGAATTCATGCCTCTTTAAGCTCCTCATGGCTTTGACAGTTTCCCAGACTTCCCTTGTTTTTGATAACCTTGAGGATTTTAAGGAGTATTGGTCGGGTATTTCATAGAATGTCACTCTGTTTGGATTTGTCTGAGGTTTTGCTCATGATTAGAGTGAGGTTATGAGCTTTGGGGAGAAAGATTTATAGACATTACTTAAATTGGGGGATATTCCAGTAGAGAGTCAGGCAATTCTTGGGCATAAGGAAAAATCTTTTGACCTGAAGCAGCATGGTCCACAGTGGACATCTCACAACTGGAGAAGTACTTCTAAATACAAAGAGAATCTTCCAGCAAAGTTTATTCGCCTAGTAGGCTTAACAAATCTCGGGATGCCACAGATTGCCACAGGTCTGTTCACTATGTTAAATCCTTCCTTTCTGAAGACTTTCAACACAGTCTCCTGTCATACATCCTTTTGTTTTGTTTTGTTTTGTTTTGTTTTGTTTTGTTGTGGTGGGGAAAAGACTTTTGGTTTTGTAATAGAATTTAATTTGAAAACAGTACTTTTTTGAGAGAAATCCTCTTTTGGAAATGTTACTGAGCTACATTAAGTATCTGAAACCCCCATGTTATCAGGAATGTAAGTGCGTGAATAAGAGCATGGCGTCTGTGTGCTGGAAAGAACTCTGTAATCCTGCTGCTGACCAGATTCCTTTCCTAGTGGAAGAGTCAAATTGATGGAGTCTCTCCCACACCAAACACCTGGGATGCTATTAAAAAATGAAATGGAAAAATGAAGGCTCTAGATGCAGGGCATGCTGGATAGACTAGTATGACAACTGAGGACAACCAAGTCTGAATCTGAGTCCAGGCAATTGCAGGAATCCTGAAATCCTCCTCCCAAGAATTAACTACCTTATTTAATTTTCCACAAAGGCTATGCAGTTAGTAAAAGGGGGAACAATTTTCCAAATATAGAAAAAATACAAATATTATGTAACACATATGCGTATGCTCTAGCTGAAGTTTGGTTTTGACAGTTGACAAACATGCCTTGATGTATGTGTGAGTGGTCAGTGACTCAATCCCTTTCTAATCCCATTGTAATCTTTATAATGATTCTGTTACGTGCAGTTATAACAATAATAGCTAATATTTATTTACAGCCTATCTGTGCTTGACATATTTTATCTCATGTAATCCTGTCTAGATACTCACTCTCCTCTTCCTTAAAAGAGGAAGTTGAAGCTTTGAGAAGTTAGGTATCCTGCCCAAGGGTACAAAGATAAGGTCAGGATTTGAACTCAAGGCATGGACTGCTGCGATCCAAAGTGTCGGGTCCTACTGGGCTAAACTACCTCCGTGTCATTGAGTTCATTTCAAAATGCCTTCTGGGAGAGCAAGGACCATATCTCTTCTTTTCTTAATAGATGGGGTCTCACAATTAATTTCCATTCACGTGGCACAAGTTTAGTAATATTTGAAAATAAGGAAGAGGAGGATGTGTTACTACTACTGATCATCACTGTTAAGGTAAAGAAAAAAAATCAAATACTCTCATCTCCTAATTGACTCCCAGACCAACAGTAAGAGAGGGAAAGGCCAGCCACTCAGCAGCCTTGTCACCTGGAACTAGAGCTAGATGGGCTCAAATCTCCAGGTCCTAAGATACAGTGTATTCATAGAAAATTTGAGGTATTGGAATGGCTAATGGTTGCCATTGACAAGATAGAAAGAGAGTTTGTTACAGTTCCCAAGAGAAGGGGACATGCCACATGTTGGGGGGCAGGCACACAAACGAAGCACCAGGGTCAGTCAGGAGGCTGAGGGAGCTTTGGGCAAGGGCCTTTATTGTGGTTTCTATGGGAAGGAACAGGTGAGGCAGGGTGAACAGGCTGGGGATTGGCTTGTTTGAATAATTTTAGCAGGCTCTGGGATACAGGGGCTGTGCCTAGTTGTCTGGTACCTGGCCCTGATGTGGTTAGGGCAGGTGGAGTGTGAGAGCCTGACACAGGAGGTGGGTTGCAGTGTGGACTCTGGATTGGTTGGTTTGTTATTTGAAAAGCACTCATGGGCAAGTTGTTTACTATCTCTAGGAATTGTCTGACCCTAGGAGGTAGAGTCCCACTAGAGACCAGATCCCCAAATGTCAAAACATCAGAATACAGAAAATAAAAGACATGGTTGATAGTCTCCAGCTAGAGGATTTCTGGCCATTCTGAGTTGGGGAAGGCATACAAATGTACCCATAAGCCAGACAGAGTATCCAAAAGCTAATTCAGCTGTAAACAATGGCGATGGTTACGAATGCCCTGTAAGAGGAACCCTCGTATGTGGAGGAAAAACAAAACAAAAACCAAAAACAATGACAACTGGAAGATTAAATGTAACTCTCTGGGCCTACATTATCTGGGTTATCTTAAAAGACTTGTCACAAGGGGCGCCTGGGTGGCTCAGTTGGTTAGGCGACTGCCTTCGACTCAGGTCGTGATCCTGGAGTCCGGGATCGAGCCCCGCATCGGGCTCCCTGCTCAACAGGGAGTCTGCTTCTCCCTCTGACCCTCCCCCCTCTCATGCTCTCTCTCTATCATTATCTCTCTCAATAAATAAATAAACATCTTCTAAAAAAAAAAAAAAGACTTGTCACAAGTTAGTGCTTCACAAGAGAGAACAGAAAACTTAGTGTCCATCAAGCATTATAGGGTAAAATTGCAACTTTTTCTCTTAAATCCAATTCATTAGCAAGCTATGTACTGTACTCTAGTGTATACAGTTCTCTCTCTCGCTCCCTCCCTCCCTCCCACTCCTTCTCTCCCACAAACACATAGCAATAGTTTGCATAAATGTGAGCTCAGCTAGCAGACAACACCCACCCATCCCCCTAACACACACCGTATCACACATTCTTAAGAGTCTGCTTAGTGGGTCCAAGTTGAAATGGTTGAAATGGGCCTTTTTATTTTTCTCAAAAGCTACAGTAAGAAACACATCGGACAGGGGAGCCTGGGTGACTCAGTCGTTAAGCGTCTGCCTTGGGCTCAGGTCAGGATCCCAGGGTTCTGGGATCGAGCCCTGCATGGAGCCCCGCATCGAGCCCCGCATCGAGCCCTGCATCGGGCTCCCTGCTCAGCGGGAAGCCTGCTTCTCCCTCTCCCACTCCCCCTGCTTGTGTTCCCTCTCTCGCTGTCTTTCTAAAAAAAAAAGAAAAGAAAAGAAACACATCGGACAAAGTAAAGTTAGACCTGCCTCTTTGACCTCATAAGATTCCTTAATACCAGAAGCAGTATTTTCAAGCCCAACCGTGCTGTCTCCCTCAAGAAATGTTTTCTTCATAGTCTCGGTAAAATCAAAGACCACATTATCTCAAGTTGCAGCCAACACTTTATTCTCCTCATTAATGGCTCAAAACTGTTGGAAGCCAAAGCCTGAAAAAGTCCTATGGCAATAAATGTGAATGTTTTTCAAAGAGAAGAAAGAAATTGCAAGAGGCTATGTTTCTGTTGACCGTATTTCTGAGTATGTTTCTTTGGCAAAGTCCTCAACCAAACTCAAATAAATTAGACACAGTGCCGATAGAAGTAAAAGAAGTAATCTGTAAAGAATATCCCCGCAAAATAAGGATCCGTTGAACAGTCCGCTAAATCCTGTCAGAACAGAGAAGAAAAAAGGAATGATTAATGTGAGAATTGGTTAAAGTAATTGATGGATTGATTGATTTAATGGTCTGTTTCTTTCTTTTTCCCTGGAAAGAAAAAGGCAAAAAAAAAAAAAAAAGGAAAGGAAAGGAAAGCAAGCAAGCTTACCGGCGCAGCTACACGGAAATGGTACATGCTGTCAAAGAATGGGGCCACAGGGAGGCTCCAAATGTGCTGATAGCCCTAAATAATGAATGAAAGAGAGATCCATTTCATAACCACATGTTACACTCCGTGGGAAAGACTATAGTCTGAGAAAGCATTTCTTTGACTCCTCTAGGAAAAGTATCTGTGGCGACAGCTTTTGAGAGGAGTCCCTAAAACAGTCTGCAGCCTCTGAAGGACACCTGGAAGATGCTGAGCAGAGCCCTGTGACTCGGGTCAGCCAGCGAGGAGAAACCCCGACGGGCAGCTCATGGCTCCCCTCTCATGTGGGGAACAGAGGCCGTGCCACAATTCTAGACACACTTCTTCGGGGACAGGAACGGGGACGGGGATGGAATGCCCGGGGGCTGGAAACCATTACCTGTGTCATCTCTTGGGAGACTTCTTGGCGGCTTTGTATCCCTTTGGCTCCCCTTTTGCCATGGAAACATATATTTCCAAGGGTGAATTTGCACTGGAAGACTATCAATGGCTCTGTTGTGCTTCGAGAAACAAAGAAAGAAAGGGCAAAGGGAAAGCAGTTACCAGCTACGCTAGACTACACCTTGATAGAAAGGGGTACCTGTGGGAACGTAACTGGGACACCCATTTGGTTTCATGTAGGCATCTTATTACACAAAGCTCATCAATGCCAATGTGCCTGTTCACATCTCCTTATTACAGAAAGAAACTCAGTCTCAGATGATTACTGTGATAGACAATGTTCGTGCTCCCCTCCCCCAAATTCATATGCTAAAATCCTAACCTCCAGTGTGATGTGTTCGGAGGTAGAGCCTATGGAAAGTGATTAGGTCTTGAGCGTGGAGCCCTCATGAGTGCGATCACTGCTCTTCCAAAAGGACCTCAGAGCACTCTCTTGTTCCTTTGCCAGGTAGACACAGTGACCGGCCTTCTGTGAAACAGGAGGCAGACCCTCACCAGACACCAAATCTGCCGGAGCCTCCATACGGGGCTTCCCAACCCCCAGAACGGGGGAAAGTAAATGTTTGTTAAGGCACTCAGGCTATGGTGTTTTTGTTACGGCAGCCTGAACCCATCAAAACAACCTGAGGGTGCATATGACAGTCTCTAAGACCTAATCTCATCACTGAAATCACCCAGCAGCAGAAGTTCTTATCACCATAGATCTTAAAATAACTTTTGGGGGCACCTGGGTGGCTCAGGCAATTAAGTGTCCAACTCTTGGTTTCGGCTCAGGTCATGGTCTCAGGGTCATGAGATCAAGCTCCATGCTCAGCAAGGAGACTGCTTGAGATTCTCTCCCTCCCTCTCCCTCTGCTCCTCCCCCTGCTCGTGCTCTCTAAATAAATAAATAAATAAATAAATAAATAAAATCAGTTTTGGAGATATCCCTTCTCTTTTCACTGGCAACTGAATTTGCATCTACCTCAAGTTTCCAGGATTTCGGATTCTACAAACCACTGATCTGAGTACATACTGTTTGAAGCAACAAGGTAAACAAATAGGAAGGGATGTGGGGCTGAGTCCCGTTAGAATTTACCTACCGTCACAGCTATCAGAGCGGAAGGCCTGCCAGAAAGAATGATTCTCCTCTGGAGGTTAGCCCATTAATTATCACCAAGAGGATGAGATCCATCTGTCTTTGGAAGTGATCTTTTTGCACAAGTGGGACAACCTACAATCTCAGTTGAGTATGTGTGTTATTTTTAAGTTACCCATATTAGGAAAATGGTTCTTAAACTAAAAAGCCTGATTTAGTGGCTCAAGATGGTCTTCTGCCACTTCAGGGGATACACCATTTTGGCTTATTTCCTTCCATCGAAGCTAGGAATGAATGAGGAAAGGCTATTCCAGGCTACTCAGGGAGTGTAGAAGATAGTCCATTTAGCTCTTGCTCTGTGTGAAATGTGATGAGTTCTGAGTCACAAAATACTTGCTGCTTGAAACAAACCTTTCCCAGGCAAGCAGTTGGGTCCAGTGTCATCAACTCACTGTAGAAGCAAAGTTGATGAGAGAAAGAGTCTGAAGCCTGAGTGAAACAGAGGACGGGGCAGAGCAGTGGGAAATGGATGGAGGAGGAAGGAGAGAGCTGGGGAAGCAGAGGATGAGAGCGGAGGACAGAGGAAAGGGAAGGTGAGAGGAAATGTGGAGGGGGCAGAAAAGGAGAGACTACAATCCAGAGAGACACAAAATAAAAACCATCTATCTTCCTGGTGAGTAGCTCACTGCATAATTTGAGTGAAGTGGGTTGAAGTCTTAAAGTACCGTAATTATTTTAAATACTTGGTAAGAATGGATTAAATTAGAGCTTTGTGATTTTGAAGGAAAGGTAGTCATAATAAAAGCTACCATTTATGAAGCGCCTACTATGTGCCAGGAAGGGGCAATATTCTTACATCTCTCATTTCATCAGGAAGGCAGGAAAGTGATGGTTTAAAGGATGGGCTGAGTTTGAAACCCAGCTCCACGGCTTACTAGCTGTGAGTTTCAGGACAAGTGTATTTGACCTCTCCAAACCTAAGTGTTCCCATCTGAAAAATATAAACTAGAAAAGAAAAACTGAACTCGAGGGTTATTGTGAAGATTATATGACCCACTATTAAAGTGGAGAGTGTCTGGATATGCTCTGTGCTCAGCAAATGGTAGTTATTAATTTCACTACTATTAACAGTGATTCCCACAGCAGCTCTACTTCTTATGGTATTATTTCAAACTGATTTTATAGATAAAAACAGCTCAGAGAGGATAAATGGTTTCTCCAAAAGGTTAGAGAATTAGTAAGTGGCAGAGACAAAATTTGAACCCTGGTCGGCCCGACTCTAAACTCTGACTCCTTGAACTCCCCTGGGGAAGGGGGTGGTATCTGCGTTAGCACTGCTAACAGGAGCTCACAAAAATGGGCAGCTCCCTACCCAGGGGGCTATGCTATTCCTCTTGCTCCCACCCCAATTCAAAGGGACACAGGGGTAGTCTGTAGCTTGTGAGCATCAAACCCAAGGTCACTCCCATTTTACAGGTATGAATGTGAAGCCAAGAGTCTTTCCATTCCACTTAGGGAGGCTGGAAGACTCGAACCTTCATTTTGAAGATTCTTCCCCAAGCTGGCCCACCTCTCAACCCAAACAGCATCAGTCGACACGGACTGATAACTTCCCACCCTCTAACTTACTGATCAAATTGTGAAGTAAGTTCAGACTTGCTATTCAAATAGTGACAGAAGCAGAATTGTTTTCTATAGTTATGCACTTACTTGATTTCCAGAGAGAATTTGACATTGGTAGGTGTGTGCTTATTAACAGGAATATTGTAATTGTAATTTCCAGCGCTGATTATGGGGAAAAAAATAAAACCACAAATCAAAATACACAGGAAAGGCTTCAAAAGGCTTTTGTTATTCATTATATACTATGTAAGCTGTGAAATATTCTATAGCAAACACAGAGAATCAAATTTAGCACGGTAGAGCTCTATGTTTTTCAGAGACGTACCTGTCAAATTTCAAAGTGATCTCTTTTAAGTCTTAATATACAAACTATACCACAAAGATTTATGGTGTGTTAGAACACACAGACAAAATGATGGAAAGCCAAATTCCAGGCCAAATGCATAAAACCGAGTGCACAGGAAACGACTCCCCATTAAGGAGACACACATTTCAGGAGACAACTGAGGCAAAGACCTCAAACCAACAATCCCTCTGGAAAGGAGGACTGAAAATAATGAATAATAGCTTCTCTACCCTGAATCACTCCCTTTTAGGCAACATTAGCAGGAAGTACCACACACTTTCTGAACTTGAATCAACTAACATTATGATGGTCCTAATCCCCATTCTGTGATGAAGAAAACGATAGCACAGAAGTACATCCACAGACGCTCCTCCCCCATGCCCCCTGGAAGGGAACTACTTGGGGCAAAGGGGGGCTTCCTGGGATTCCTCCTGTAATGAACACTCCAGCAGAAAAGCAGAGTGTATCTAACACAGATTCTTATGACCTGGCCACACCTTGAATTATATGGAGAAACAACTTAAAACCAGATACATTGGAAGAAGAGCTCGTCACTTTAGATTCTCTTTAATCAATCCTAAAGTAAGTTGTTAAAAATAAGAAAGCAGAAGTAAAAGGTACTGATCTGAATTGGGATCAGGAGAGCCTTGTTCTACGGGAAAAAGCTGAGGATAAATGGAATTCACTTCCTACCATGTGCCTCCTGGCATCTGCATGCTTCACAGCAACCCAACTCAGCAGCCTCATCGCAGAGATGAGAAATGGACACTCAGGGGAAATAAACACCTTGTTGAAGTTCTGGAATTTGAAACCGAATCATCCCACTCTTCTTCATTATGTCACCCTAGCAGAGTAATTAATGTCTGTCTCCGACTTGTTTAAGCTCACTGAAGCTCAGGTTCCTTAACGGCAGAATGGGGATCAACCAACCTCAGGGATTTGGGGAGAATTCCATGCGATAATGAATGTCAAAGCCATAAACAAGTCATAAAGCACCATAGTTTATTTTTAAAGCTCAGGGTCATCAACTTGAAGTCTAAGTTACATCAGGTTGCAAAAGAAATCAGGCTGAGAATCCCAAGGATTTGTGACATCAGTTCAAAGTACAGGGTCTTGCCTTTCACTTAGCAGTCACCCCATAAATATTTATTGGAGAAAGAAAAATAAGTCCCCATTCTTAACGCCTTCAACTTGCATATTGTGCTAGCTGAAGCTACTTGTAGTCTGTGCTTAGATTCTAAATGCATCGTTACCTGATGGCACATAATAGACATGGAGGTTGCTGATAACTTTTGCAATATCTGGATTTTTCCCCTTCTAACTGAAAAAGCCAAGATAAGCTTTATTATTTAGCAATTAAAATAATGCTATTCCTTGTTATTAAAATGTATAAATGTCAGCTCATTCATTACTTGGAGCCATCAGTAACAATGTCTTTCTTGTCGATACAATTAATCAGCAGCCCTGTGCCTATGGTATGTGTCCTCAGAGAGTCAGCCACAGAGCTGCCCCCTAAGCTTTTTGCTTTGGACTTACCCATTAAAACGGGAGGCTGGAATCATTGGAGCCCTGGTTTATTGACATTTGCTAATACCAACCATTTTATGATTCCCTCGTCTACCATGTAACAAATGTGTTTTCATTTAAGGAGCATTGTAAGCACACACTGATTTTTACCATGCAGTTTTAGCTTTCATTCCAGCCTCAGAAACCCAGAGCCCTGAGTAAATTCCAGAAACAATCGGGGTAGAATGGGGAGGCTTACCCACCTGCACTGGAGGCCTCCGCCACAATACTGATGATCTATTACTTGCTGGATTTCCATGATCTGAATAGAACTAATGGTTGTATCAATCCCTGAATTGAGAAGAAATAGAGAAAAGAAAGTAAACTCTTCTGCAGAGGAAGAATATTGTGCTTCAGCGACGTCTCCAATTTACCAAAAGTGAAAGAAGAGTTTCCTAGATAAATGGGTTCCATTTGCATTCAAATGGAAAAAGAAGGGGAGGGAAAGGGAGAAGGCTTTTGTTGTTGTTGTTACAGTAAATTTTAAGAAAACTCATAAAAATCCAGATTCCAAAAGGCAGCCCCATAACATCCAAAAAAATTTCTGGACCCTGGAAGTCCTACTAAATTGACATTTATTGAAAATGGAGGGTGCAATGTGAAATGCTATCTGGCCAAGAAAGAAAGCTTTAAAAAACTTAGAAAACAGAAAACAAGCTAAAAGTACAGTCAGAATCCAAGAAGGTAGGAAGTTCAAAAAAATTATTCAAGTCCATGGAGATCAACCTCCACTTGTCTAGTAGTGAGCGACCATCTCTAAAGCCTCCTTAATGGTTAGACTGGCATTGATTATAAATAAAAGTAATCCCCATGAGTGTTCAAGGGCAGGCTGCATCCTTTGTCCCTGGTCCTCACTCCTGTAATGCTTTTACAGCCTGTTGCTACTCTGCCCAGCTCCCTGAAGTCAAAGAATAGTCACTTAGATGTAAACTTACAGTCACTCCCCCAGTCAGGGCTGGTTAGCGCATCTCTTGCCAGGAATGACAAGCTTCTGTCTTCTGAAGAGGAAAAAAAGTCTGTCAAACTTTAATTAAGGCTTGGTCAGGATGAGAAGAAACCCAGTATGTGCCCCTCTGTCTCTGTCAGTTGAATGTTTCCACACCCTTTCTCTCTCCTACCTTTCGACCCATCCAATGCCTACCCGCATTTCTTACGGATCTAGTATGTTCTCACCTTCCTCCAAGAAGCCATCTGTTTTGGGCTGAATTGTGTTCCCCAAACTCTTGCGTTGAAGCCTAACCTCTCAGAATATGACTGTACTTTGAGATAGGGCCTTTCCAGAGGCAATTAAGTTAAAATGAAGCTGTTACGCTGGGCCCTAATCCAATCTGGCTGGTGTCCCTCCCTATAAGAAGAGATTAGGACACTCGAGACACCAAGGACAGGACGGGCAGAGAGGAAAGAACTTGCAAGGACACAGCGCAAAGGTGGCTATCTGTGAGTCCAGAAACCAGACCTGCTAACACCCTGATTTTGGACTTCCTGCCTCCAGAACTGTGAGAAAATAAATTTTGTTTCTGGAGTTGCCCAGCCTGTGGTACTGTGTTATAGCGGCCCGTGCAGATCGCACGGCCCCTCCGTTCTGATGTCATGGCATTACTGCCTTAACCATCCAGGGGGTGATCAGTTAGTCATCTGTCACCACATCAGAAGCATGTCATCTGTTTTATTACTTAACTTGTATGTATTTTGCCCTTTCTTGACAACTCCAGAATAGGGAACCTCTATTAAAATTCTCTGATTCCTAGGTAACTCCTAGCATAATGTGATCCACACAGGAAAAAAGAGAGATGCGGGGGACGGGGGGAGGGGGAGGTAGCGGAGCTGGCTTGTGCAGAAGGAAGCGGGGGAGTGGTTTTGCCCTGTCATAGCCAAAAAGGCAGTTTAAAAGCAGTTTTGGAAAGGTAACTATTCAGAGGATTGTTGGTAAGGTTTTGGGGGGAAAAACATCTTCTTAAAGTGAATGGTGAAGGCAATTATTTAGTGGGTTGCTAAACAAGTCTTTAAAAAGAATTCTGAATTTTTTTTAATTTGCTGATTTTTTCTCAAGTATATGTACTGTTCACTGTATTCCTTCGTTTGCATTAAATAATGTTTATATTTTTCAGCATAGTTTGGGGCAAAACACAAAGACAGTAACCTCATTTAACAAGAGACATAAGTTAATACAAGGTGTGCTGCTTGCTTAGGAAGCAAAGAGAGGCGAGATCTAAAACAAGTTTCTATTCAAGTTTCTGTGTGGAATTTCAGGAAAGCAAAGGCTAGAGTGCATGTTACTTGGGCGCCATCACTCCTAAGTAAATCTGCCCTGGTTAGTACTTCTTACACTAGGCACACGGGCTTGTTTACCTGTCCACAAAACTGACTGCGAGCTTCTGGAAGCCTGCCAGCATCTTGTGCACCTTGCCGTCGCCCCAGGCAAGGCAATCCTGGGCTCTCTGCAGGCGCTCAACAAATATTTGTGGGAGGATGGAAGGAAGAGGGGCAGGGAAGGAAGAAGGAGAGTCAATCATATACCCTCCAGAAAAATGTTTCCTCTTACACACTCAAAGGGGAAATCGCCAGCAGATGGGTGCAGAGGGGATGCTGGGAATGGACATGGGAGCCTGAGCTCCTTCATCCTGTTGGCAAAGGGGAGTGAGACAGAATTTGAAGGAGAGGCAGGTTTCCTGAGCATCTTGCCTAACATGAGCCTTTTCATTAAAAAGAAATGGATCTTGATACATGAGGATTTTCTAGAAAATTGAATATATATTTCCCTTTAGATACAAATATATGTGCTGTCCAAAAGGCCTCTAGATTTCTTGGATTCCAGCTATTCCAGTAATAATTGTCAAGCACATGTCCCCTGCTATGAGTTTTGCTTATGATTGCTCCCACAGAAGGATGTGAATTTATACGGCAAATGAAACATAAAAAGAAGGGGAAACCAGAATTTCTCCATCCTGTCTGTTTTCATCCTTTACCTTTTTTTCCCTACTTTTCCACTGAATTTGCAGGAACAGGGCTCATTATAAATTTTGGCAACAGAATTACAGAGTTGCCTCATTTTCACAGAAGCATGTTTCCAGGTTCCTGGAGACATAGAATCCTATGATAGAATTTAGTATCTGATGGGATAACGGTAGTTTTAAAAACAGTAATAAAAAGGTAAATTTGAGAGATAATCTTGCAGATTAGAATTATGAAAATGGCTTTTCAGACTCAGGATTGGAAATAAATTTTAAATCTCCTATAGAACAAATCTCCAATTTGTCACTTCTCTAAGGCAAGACTATTCAATTCCGAAAGGCTAATTATCGGAAAACCATTAACTCTCCTGTAGTCAAAGAGGGGTGGCTCTCATTTTATAAATGCCTTCCAGTAATATTCACTATAAACTTAATATACACTCCCAGTGGTTTTTCACTGTGAAGCTGGAGATAGATTTCGCAATCAGCGGAAAAGATCTCCCAATAAACTAAATTAGAAACTTCTGGAGAGGAGAGATTTAAGATGGTGTCCAACCAAAGCATATCCTGTTGTGGTAGAATGTGTATATAGCATTACTTATAAAATTGTGCTGTATGGCTGAGTTCCAAAACAGCATCTTGGATACTTTTTTCTTTCCTGATTGAACCAGACTCATGCCAAGAAAAAGTCAATGAGCCCAACCAGTTGATGACTGGTGTCCTTTAACACAGGGAGCCAGTTTCTTTCCGCCATTTGCTCTTCTCAGAGTTCTGATCTCCAAAACAAAATAAGCATGAATTCTCACAGCCTTTTAGTTTTATGAGATTTTTAAATCTTCACCAAAATTCTTAACATCTGTAGAATTCCATAGATATTCTCCTCACAAGCTCTTTGCTTTTTCATATCTAACTCTGTCTATTTAAGTCTTTATTGGTTCCATAGATTAAAATCTAATCCATCACACTCAGTTGGCTCCTCAGAGTGGAAGTTCAATATTCCAAAATACCCACTCTCCACCTCTTGATTAGTCTTACCCAAACCTTTTATATTAAGTGGGGAGAGGGGATAACCTTTCTGAAAGACGTTTTACACAATCAGCTTGGGCCCAAAAGAAGAATAATGGCTTGCCCTCAGCATATCATAAAAATACTGATTTCCCTTCCCTTATTTCACTAGTGGTCTTACTCCTTAGGAAAGAAGCTCATAAGTGTGTTCTGGGGCTTGGTAAACTGCTAGATATTACTCTTCATCCTAGAGAGTTATTCCAACTTTTTTTTTTTTCTTAACCCTTGAATTTCTTTTTAAAATTTTTATCCTTTAATTTTTTTTTTTTAAAGATTCTATTTATTTGTCAGAGAAAGATAGCGAACACAAGCAGGGGGATGACAGGCAGAGGGAGAAGCAGGCTCCCCGCTGAGCAGGGAGCCTGATGCGTGTGACTCGATCCCAGGACCCTGGGATCATGACCTGAGCCGAAGGCAGACGCTCAACAGACTGAGCCACCCAGGCATCCCTATTCTTTAATTTTTAATTAGTTGTGAATGCCTCAGAAACATCTGTTGAAAGAGTTTGCCTGGCTTTCTCCACTTTCAGATTTAGGAACCCCAGGGTCATACAGTGCCCAGGACAGAGGGGAAGGATGGACCAGCAGCAGAAGAGAAGAGGCTTTCTTTACACCCCGAGAAACACACCACATCAGGGACATCTCAGTAGCTATAGGCAAACTTGGGGGAGGGGGATGCCGAAGGGACTTTCTAGAACCACAGGGTGACTACTTTCAGCTTCCTCTAGAGTTGATCCCTGGTACATGTGCACACAGTGCCAAATAAATGGAGGCACAATGGTAGATGGGCAGAAACCCAGGACAGGGAGACAGGGAGACAGGGGACTCAGGTTCCTGTTCCAACTTTGCTAGTAACTTACTGCAGAACCTTAAGCAAGGTCCTGGGCCTCCATTTCATCAGCTGGAAAATGGGTAAGCTGGTATCAATCAGAGGTTTTCCTGACCCAGTCCTTGGAAACCCAGGTGATTGCATAAAGTGGTCAGTGGTGTTTGCGCACTTGAGAAGTAACAACTCTCCCACGGATTTGTACTATTCTTCAAATGTTGCTGTAGGACTAACAAAAATTATTTGATTAAAGCTTAACTGAGTTTAAATTAACATTCTCCTTTTATGTATTTTCTCAGCCAAATAACTGTAAAAGAATAATGAATTAATAGTAGATTCTACAGGTCAAAAAGTTAGGTACCACTGGTGTACTGCTCTCTGACTTTCTACAAGACTCTAAATCCCCAAAAGTTTGCAGGTTTCTAGAAGGTGCAGTGAAGAGAACACGTAAATCCTCTCTATCTTTCTCCAGCTGAAAGAGGGAAGAGGGAACAATTCTGCCCGTGTATCGGGGAGCCCGGTAAGGCAGGACTTACATTTCACTTTTAGCCAGAGAAGCTGGTGACTGTGCCTAGGAGGACACAACCAGGCACTGTGGAGCAGCCCTTCTTTCTCTAGGAGTCTGTTCAGTGTCCCCCATACTTAGGCAATGTAAGACACACAGGCACCTAGTGTCCCAGAGAGGAGAGCAATGAACCTTCATCCAGTTTGATAAGGCTGCTCTGCCCTCCATGTGGAGAGCTGGTTGCTACAGGAAGGAGTTTGCTCAAGGGTCAAGAACATTTTTGAAAATGAAGATTGGATCAGTCCATGACCTCTTCCTGTGCAGGATCCATGGTTACACATCTCTCATAGGTGAGATGGTCTCTTCTGAGGACTGCTCTCAGAAAAGGCCACAGAGTACACCCAAGGTGGACTCCAAGGTAGGAGAAGGGTTTACAGCCACAAGGGTTCATGTGCTTTTGCAAGAGATGAAGGCTTTGGGGGATTTTTTTTTAAACAGCACTGGACTTTTCCATATTTGAAACTACGGAGAATATGATGACAGAAACACATTCATTTCTTCACGGTGAAGCTTTATCTTTGCCCTATAGTGATGCATCTGTTCCCAAGTTCAATCAAAAGTTGCTTTCATGAGAAAAACAGTGCGAGCACTGCCTCCTACAGGCGCAGGGAAAAACTCTCTATGCCTCATCTCCTCATTGGAAAGAAAGGAGGTAACAGTGCCTATCTTTTAGGCTTGTGGGGATGGAATGGTTTATTCATGTAGATTCCTTACGGCTGTGCATTTGTATACAGTAATAGCTCATTATATGATGTGATGATGATGATGATGATGATTCGTAAAAGTTATTCAACTCTAGGTTATGCAATAATATCAAAAGGAAAAAGAAATCACACTGTTGCCCCCAAACTTCAACCAATGACCATATTGTACATGTCAGTCATTTGGACTGCTCAAAAATATTCTAGTTCATCTTCTTCTAGGCATATGTTAGGTCTGCACTTTATCAACTGTTTTTAAATGAGACATGACCAATGTCACTCGCTTTAGCCAATAAAATGTAAGCAGAAGTGACATGTGCTACACCTAGGTGGGAGCTTTAAGAGCCGTGTTCTCTTACCACTGCTACAGAGATTGCAGAAATACAGATTGAGATGGAGTCTCCATTAGTGAGGTTCTAAAGGATGTGATGAGTGAGAGCCCTCTTTTGATCCACATCTGACATAGAGAGTCAGAAATAAATTTTTGCCACATTATGCCACTGTAATTTGGAGGCTGCTGTCGCCACAGCATCCTGATAGATAAGCCATGCTAATATGTATCTATTGCTATTACTGTCATCATTATTCTATAGACTTGGGGATGTGCAGAAGGTTCGCAAAAACAATAATGAATCAGTATACATTTGGATTCCATTACCGAGATAATTATACATTTGGATTCCATTACAGAGATAATTATAGTTTTAACCCTTGATCAAGCCTCCATAATTTTTTAACATGAAAAATCTGCTTCTTAAAAAAAATTCTGTGTGTGTATGTGTCCCTAGGAGGAAGAAGTAGATATTCTGACAGTGGTTGTGATTTTCAGACTTGCAGCTTATCCTGAACTCATTAGAGTTCCAAAGCCTTTTACATGTTGCCCTACTTGGTTTGGGCAGAAAGCCCAGATTCGACATCATTTTATAAGTTCTAAGTGAGCCAGAAAATCTACCCAACCACCCAGGATTACTTTACATGTTCTACTACTACTAATGTTGTTGGCAATGGACAAATGAGACAAATGAGATCTTTTCACTTACTCAGCCATAATTTATCCCTGGGCAGGGAACTCAATATTATAAAGGGACTGCAAGTTTGTGCACTTGTGTTTTTAAAGAGCTTGCCACCCTAAAGAGAAAAGTAGAACCATTGTCTGGAACCATTAACGGATTAGGCAAGTAGATATTTGAAAAGAAAAACATGTCAGGTTTCAGAGTCCCAGAGGCTTCTCTTTGAACATCCTTTACCTGCCCACAGCCTCTGATGGGTTTCCTCCTCCTGAGACCACCTTCGCGTAGGACTGGAGGGGACTCTTCTCTTTCCCTGGATGGGGCAGCAGTAAGTCTCCTGACAGGGCAGGATCTCACAGAAAGTGATTTCTGGTACTTGGAAGGAGGACTGTGTGGTCACCAGGGACGTATTGGGTGCTGCAGAGCATTGGGCAGAGAGGAGGGAAGTGACAAGGTTAACCTGAAAGGCTGGTTCTTTTGTCGACAATTCACAGGAAACATGGGGCTGGATTTGAGAGTGAGGAATGTGAAAATCTTAAATCTCACCTGTGGGAGAGGCTGTGGGCGGCAGGGCGGGCTCCTGAGAGCTTGTGATATTGCTGGAGGAAGAAAACAAAGTGATTACCGAAGGAGGCCTTCAAGAATCCTTCTCTCCAAAGGAAAACAAGACCAAAACTCTCACCTCGGAGGGAGACTTGGGGCACGTTGATTTTGATCTTTTAAGCTAAGTATGTACAGGGAGACTATCGTCAAGGCACTGTTAAAAAAAGAAGAAGAAGAAGAAGAAGAAGAAGGAAGCATTATGTGCCAGATTTGAGTTCATCTCCATCTCACACAACCAGCCGGTCAGAGATTACACTGTCACAGGCTACACAGATGGGAGGGGTGCGGCCTCGGCTGAGAGTCGCACCATGGAAACCAGCACCGTTCTGCTTCAGGGCTGAAGGCCCTCACCTTCCTAGAGCAAAGAGTCTCTGGGGTACTCCTCACTGATGGATTTTTCCTGAGAGCAGCCCCCTGGCCCTGCAAGCTGCCTCAGAAGCATCTGTCACAGGTGGAAGATTATGGGTGGAAGATTATGAGCGGAAGCTGTAAATCGCTGGAGGCAGCCCCTGCTCCTTGCAGGAAAAAGTCAGAGCAGAGTTCACATCCCACTGGCGGGGGGCGTCCGCCCTGTGGCCCCAAAAGGCCACCCGGGTTTAGTCAGCTGTAGACGCCAACCCCTTGGCTGCTTCTCTGACATCTTCCGGCTGCCTGTCTTTTCAGAGCAAAAAGCGCCAAATTGGAGGAGAGAGGAAGGAGAAGAAATGCAATGTAGCATCCATTTCCACACTGTGTGACTTCAAAATAATGACTCTTTTTCCTCCAATTATCAGAACTTACATATTCAAACAGAAGCTTTTCTGAAAGGTTCGGAGCCCGGGGAAGCTATTCTCCCAATGCTCATGCATCCAAACACCTAGCATTTTCTTCTCACAGGGGTGTGTGTCTCTGGAACTCTCTCATGAGCCGCACAGGAGAGTCCGCTGACCACATTACAATCCCACTGTGCGCTGGGTCTGACACAGGGTGACCTGACTTGACTTGCTGCTAGCTTGACTATACACCTGGCTCCCTAGACTCGACTCCTCGTTATATTGCTCCCATTCAAAGGTGGTGGGTTTACTATTATTAAATATACACGAGGAAATGTGCCATGCGTTTGAATTCCATTCATAAAGAAAAAATTTCCAGAGTGTTCTCAGCAGCAGCTGGTTACTGCCCAGCAGGCACAACCCTGTCTGGGGAAAGTGGTGCTGAGCCCCAAAGATGCTATCAGACAGAATCCGTGGTGTCACCCTGGCAACTGCTTGCTGTGATCCAGTCTCCCTCTCTTTGTTCTCCCCCGCTATTTCCCTATAACTAATCCTGAAGAGCTCTTTCTAATTTGTCTCTGGCATCTACTTCAGTGCATGACCCAGAGAACTTCTAGAATTGTGGAATGACATGGACATCTGTTCCTTTCTTTGGGGGCAAATTCTGGTTTTGACTCTTCTTGCCACCACAGGCCAGAAACAAAATAACAAGCCCAATAACCTCCCACTTATGATCTTGGTGGACAACAATATTGGAATTCGTAAGATAATTCTGATAAGCGTGTTTAAAAAGCAGTCTCTGTGCATCTGAATTAGACGTCCTATCACCCTGCCATTGGGTTTTCATGGGACTCTGCCTCTCTAGAGAATGCTACTACGTATGTCTGCTAAAGTGGATGCTCACACTCTCCTGAGCTGGGAATCCCAGCAGAGGACAGCTCACGTAGGAGAGTGAGAGAAAGACAACGGCTTCAAACGGGAATTCTGTGTCGTGGTGTCAGATCCTCGTGGATGTTGTGTACAGTGGGCAGTAGCAAGTGAAAAGCTGAAATGCTGAGGGGAGGGAAGGGTACAGAGAGAGACTCACACTATCCTCTATAGCTAGGAAGCTGCGTTAGAGCACGGAACTACCAGCACCTTGGCACTGCCCCTTACTTTGCCTCGGAGAACGACTGTCTCCCTTGAGACAAGGCCCCAAGGCAGTCCTTTCTAACACTCATAAAGCATTTTTTGAGAGATAGATAAATACCCCTGTGAAAATAGCCCTGCGACCATGCAAATAGACTGAGAACAAGAAGGCCCAGAGGACACAGGCAAGATGACTAAGGCCCGAAGCCTGAGGGGCCATCCCAGCCGCAGGTGCCTGCAGACCAGAGCCCAGGGGAAGAGCCCTGCATCTCAGTAAGGGGTGCCTCCCAGCGCCCTGCAGAGGTCCGATGGCACGCAAGTCCCCCACTGCTTGCAGCAAATCCTTCATCCTCACTGTGTTTGCTTGCTTCTGCTGCTGAGTACAGATGCATATATTGTAGATCTTGGGGTTACCTCATAGTCCCTTTCATGTGACGTCTTCACTGAAGAATCTAGAAGAAGCCTAACAAATGGGAGTGTCCAGGGGAGAACAGATTGTCCCTGATTGCCCTCTCGCTCTGTTCCCCCAAGTAGACAGGAAAGAGAACTAACAACTTCAGACAATTATCTGTAAGACTGAAACAAACACACACACACACACACACAGCATAGTGAGATACTAAAAATTATCAATTGATTGAAAAAAGAATCATCCTTCATCTCACATTTAAGTACAGAAAGCCCATGTTTTTTTTTTCAGAATAGGAGTTTAAAAAGGGCCCCCTCAGGGCACCTGGGTGGCTCAGTCAGTTAAGCGTTTGCCTTCAGCTCAGGTCATGATCCCAGGGTCCTGGGATCGAGTCCTGCATTGGGCTCCCTGCTCAGCCGGGAGCCTGCTTCCTCCCTCTGCTGCTTGTCCTCTCTCTGTCTCTCTCTCAAGTAAATAAATAAAATCTTTTTTTAAAAAAAGGGCTCCCTTATCTCTAAGCTAAATCCAAGGTCAATGCCCAGTTAAAGGGCTCCCTGTCTTCAAAGTACATAGGTCAGTCCCCAGTTGATAGATGAGAAAAGGAAGATGGGAAGAAAAAAAAAGAGCTTGACAGAGCACAACACTGAAATTTTTCTTACCAAAATGCCATCACAGCAATGAGAGTTATAACCAAGGTCTGGAAAACCCAGTTAGGACACAACTGTTTTTTTCCTGAAAAATAAACCTGTAAAAAAGATTCAGTCAGGAGCCGCGATAAACCAGCAATGCCAATTGGGAGAAGGACCCCTGAAGACTCGCTCCCAGCAGGGATCTTTGCCTCCCAGTGGGCTGGCCAGTGCACTCTCTCCAGCCTACATCTTCCTGCGGTCTGCCCCCTGAAAAGGAAGTTCTTCCAAAGCCTAGCTCAAGCCTCTCCCTTTCCTTGACACTCCAGCTTATAGTCATTTGTCTTTTTGCTAGCATACTGCAGGACCCGTGTCTGAGCCATTCATTTGGTGCTTCTTCTTGAAGTTTTATGAGAGCAGAGGACATATCAGACAAGATACTGTCAGAACCCAGATGTTCATCTCCTTTACTACAACACTTCGGAAAACCAAAAAGTCTTCAAGACATGATGGAATAAATTCCAACAGAAGAGTTTCAGGCATCCTGAAACATCATGGAAAAGACTTTTATGGTCCGAAATAAAAAGTACTCTTTAAATCATACACATCAGTATTCAATACTGCTACCTATTTTTAAGGACAGTTCTGAGCCTGAGTCTTATTGATCCTTATACCCATTCAACAAACATTTATTAAGCACTATTCTGTATAATGCTATAGGGAATCTAAAAATAAGTAAGTTACAGTCTCTAGGAAGCCAATGAGGCAAACCTCTAAGACGGATACATATTGGCATAAAAACTTGCTTTTTATGCCATAAAAACTTGCATATGAGGAATGGGCCAGGAACTACAGAACAGACAGCTGTGCAATTAGTGGTGAATCTGGCTGAAAAGATAGGAGAGGTTTTCTGCCCACTTGAATAAGGTGCCCCTGAAATGGGAGCTTCACTCCTAATGCAATAGGGAGTGTTATGTTTGCTTCCTTCTGCGGGGTACAGGGTAAAGTCATGCTTTTGGCTGGAAGAGAATGGGAGGTTGGTGGTCGTTAAGAAATAGTTTAAAATTGGTCTTTATTTGAATTTCTTGGGCTGGTTATCTGAGTAAATAAAGTGTTCCTCAGTGTTATATTGGGGTGGGATTAATCATATAAGCTTTTAACAAATATACAAACCCGTAGGGCTCCTATAACTGAGTCATCCATAGGGCAGCTGGAAGCCACTCTGAATACCAAGAAGTGAACAGCTTATACCATTCTTACATCTCACTGGAACTGTTCAGAGGAGAGTCTAATAATGTGCTGGGCAGAGAAGGGACTCAGTGAAATTTGTTAAATCGACTGGCGTTAATTAGCATTCGTCTCAGGTAAGAGCTCCCCCCTCCAACCTACTCCCCACAGCTGCTGGATTATTTTCAATCTCCATGCTTTTGCTTCAAATCCTTTGACCTAGTGTAGGGAAATGACCTAAGACCTGGAGTCAGGCTTGGGGCCAGGTGTTGAACAAGTCATCTAAATGTCATTGATCCTCATTTCCCTCCTCAATAAGACAGGAATGATAAAATAATACCTGCCAACATTTTCAGAGTTATTGGGTGGGTCCAACTAATCCTGCAATGGTTCTCAAATTCAGGTCCACATGAGAATTACTTTGGAATTTATTAAAAACCAAAATGCCCTAGAAAATTCTGCGCAAAAGCCTGAAGGCCTTCCCACCTCACGCCAACCACCAACACACAGCGGGGATCACCCATCTATCTCTTGGAAGTAGAGAAAGAAGGAAGGAAAAGGAACACTAGATTGGATGAGAGCTACTCAGGAGACCTCAATCTTCCTCCAGAACAAGCACCACCATCGGCAGTTGTGCGGAAGTTGAGGCAAGGCCCAGCCAGGTTTCTTACCATCTGGTAAGGCCCACAGACTGCTCACAGCCAGCACTTTGCTCATGAATGTACCCACCCAACCCAAGAGTAGCACACTCCCCCTACACACATATGTTTCAATGACCCAATGATCACGGAGGCTCTGGAGAACAGAGGATACCTAGGGGTTGGTGTCATGGAAGGAAAAGTGAACCTCAGGGAAATAGCCAAGACCTCCTGCAAAGACAGCACAGGGGAAGCAAAACATCCCCATTACTTGTACTTTATCAAGCTCCCTGGAAGACTCTGATAACATGCCAAAGTATGAGAACCACTCAAATAGTGGGTTTGAAAATGCTAATAAGAGTGAACACTTGGGGTGCTTGGGTGGCTCAGTTGGTTAAGCATCTGACTCTTGATCTCAGCTCAGGTCTCAATCTCAAGGTCGTGAGTTCAAGCCCTGCACTGGGCTTAATGCTGGACATGGAGCCTACTAAATTAAAAAAAAAAGAGTGAACTCATATAGCACTTATTACGTGCCATATTCTCTTCTGAGTGCTTTATATCTACTAATTTATTTATGTTTCTTTTTTCCACTATATATACTAATTTATTTAGCCCTCATGATAATCCTTAACAATCTTATGAGGCAGGTAATGTTATCATCCCCAATTTATGGAGAAGGGAAAAAATGAAGGCTAAGTTCCTTATGTAAGATCACACGGCTAGTAAGTCACCGAGCCAGGATTAAACCATCAAACATTTGGCTCCAGAATCTGTGCTCCTAACCACCGTGCAATGCTGCCTCCCTTTTTCTGCTTGTAAAGCAAGAGAACACTCTACAACTTAGATATTATTGTTATTACTCAGAAGGTTTTCACGGCTTACCAAGTGAACTCCTTACCAGGTGGTCGAGGATATCTGAGCCCTACCTAGATTCTCAGCCGTATCTTCTACTCTCCTCCCTAACCAACTCTCACCTAATCCTGCAATGAAGCCAGTACCAGCCCCCAGATCTTTGCTTATTCCGTCTCCTCTGGAACCTCTCCTCTACCTAGCCAGAGCTTACTCCTCCTGGAAGGCCCGGCCCCCATAATGCAGCACTCTGAGCCTTTGCAATATTTACCACATCCAGATACAACTGTTCTTTGTATTGTCCTCTGATCTTCCCTGGCTACCTAGAAATTCCTCAGAAGGGGCCATGTCTTACTCACCTTTGTCTGCCTCCCACAAGCTTACGACAGGGACTATAAGAGGCCTCTGAGTTGAATGAGTGCCCTTTAATACCTACATAAATCCTCTACTGTGTCTACAATCCAACCCCCTTCCCACCCCCACCCCACCCCCACCATACCCAAGACACTGAACCACTTAATGTTTTTAATCTTCAGGAAAGATTATCAGACTGGGCTTTCCATTCATGCATTCATTTAACAAATATTTCTTGAGTACCTACTATATGCCAGTCCCTGGGGATGCAGAGTGAGGAAGGCAGACATGGGGCCTGTTCTCATGAATGACACATTCTAGTTAATATTCTGGGATAACTGCAAAATAAAGAGATTCCCTGGGTGCAAAGTGAGAGCTACAGAGGTTGCACGTGACCAAATCGTACCAATCAGGGCCACCATGGATGTAGGTACCATTCCCTCCATCCCACTGCAAACTGGTTAGTACAAAGGGCACCTTTCTTACACAATATTTTTAATAGTTTGTGTTTATTGAGCAAACTGCTATGTGCTGGGCACTGGCTAAGGGCTTCACCTTATTTAATCCTATCACTAATCTTTGCAAGATAGATACTATTATTATATTTCTCAATGCAATTAAGTAACTTGCCCAAGGACACTTCTACATATGTATTTATCCAAGTATTTATGTTTATTGGTATACCAAGTAGCTTGTCAGCAACATAACATTTTAGCAGTTTTTAGTAGAATATTAAACTCTCTCTGAATCCTTTTAGAATAGGTCAGTGCAGTATAACATGAGTAGAGATAAAAGGGGGCAATGGCCCACACACCAGGTCAGCCCTTACCAGGACATAGATTAAGGTCATGAATATCTTCTCCTGGGAAGGGCCACCTGTGCAACACTGGTGGGTCGGAGGGAGCAAGCTGAGTCTCACAGCTATCTGTCTATGAATTGCAGCTAGGAAGGGAATATTGTAGCTTCTCCCTCACTGACACTTCTCTGCATTGGAGAGGGTGTACTTTAAATTATTAAATGATTAACCTCCACCTTTTACTGTACATTTACTGTAAATGTCACCCTGTTTGATAAAAGCTCTCTTTATTCATTAATAAAGCCATTACACTTTACCTTTGCAAGAAAGTGAATACCTATTTCCCCATTTGCACGAACAGTACTAAATATCAAAGGGAAAAGAGGGATTTGGGGATTAATGGAAGTCCCTCTGGGATCTTCTGAAGCCATAGGTAAGGAGTTAGTTCAGTTAAGGCATCCACATGACCTTATAGCCAAGGGCCATATGCAAGTGGAGGCTGATGAATTTCACTTGGGGGTGGGGCAGTATAAACAAAAACTGGCAGAATAGTATTTCTGAAATGAACATGTTTTGTACTCACTTCTCTAAACACCTTTTTGAAAAAACAGTTAGTTTCTAATAAAGGGGTAGTATTTAAATACCTAAAGTGTTGGGGCACTTGGATGGCTCAGTCGGTTAAGCATCTGCCTTCAGCTCAGGTCATGATCTCAGGGTCCTGGAATCAAGCCCTGCATCACGCTCCCCAGGCAGTCTGCTTCTCCCTCTCCCTCTATCCACCGCTCATGCTCTGTCTCTCTTTCTCTCAAATAAATAAATAAAATCTTAAAAACAAAAACAAAAACAAAAAAAACCCAAAACCTTAAGTGTATAAGGATGCAAACTAGGGAGTCTATCAGCAAATAAATAAAGAAAAGCATTCTTGATCAATTTCTCTAAAGACTTTGGGGGTGGTGGTGTATAGAAAACATCATCACTGTTCATTACAAATTTAAGTCTATTTACCTTGTTTTTTTTGGGAAGGGCCCTTCTTGAAGAAGATGCACTAACAGCTCTGCTAAATTTGCTTTAAAAAAAGAGAGAGAATGTTAATTACTATTCAAATGCCTCTCCAGGAGTTATAAGACAAAAGCCCTGGCTGCCACTAACACAGCAAGCAGTATGACTTTTTTTTTGTGATACAGTGCTAATTTAAAAAAGGGAAAGTCAAGGCAATTGAGAGTTCCTTTTGTGGAAAAGAACCTTAGTAAGCATAAATGAATGCATTAAACCTTATATTTTTCTTTTTCTCATAATTAGACCCCCAGGAAATGTGCATTTCCCTCCTTAAGTAATGAAAAAAACAAAACAAAAAAAAAACTTGAAATTTTTTCCCTGAGAACCAAACATGATTTTCTAAATTTAGAAAAGACCACTTCTCCTCCTTAAAGGAGAAGTCATCCTTTGCTAAAATGTAACATTTCCTATAATACTTTGCTCTTAAACAGATACTCCGTGTTTTGTTTCCTTTTTAAAGCAACAACAGAAAAAAATAAGAAAATTACCACATAAGGCAATTGTGTTCCAAAACATTCTAAAAAGAGAGGAGGGATGGCATCATCGGAGAGTGATGGTTGCTGCTGGATCGGAAAGACCATTTCGTTGCATCTAGTTATGGAAAGGCCCCATTCTCTCCTTCCTCCCGACTCCTGTGGCACTTGGGGATGTACCTGATGGAGCTTGCTTCGCTGGCTGAGGACTTGCAAATACTGAGCCGCTTCAGCCTGGCCAGCTTTCTGTTCCATATTTCTAACTCTTCTATCCTTTCTTCAAGGTTGTTGGTTAGTTTGCAGAGCTGCTTCACTGCACCCACATTTTCCATAAAGATCTGGTCCTAGAAATGAAAACAGTACAGAGGGCATAAATCTACAGTGTGAGACCACCAGGGAACTGTCCACAGTCCTTTCAAAGACAGGTGAAATATACCACTGAAAATGATTATACACACGCACAACCTCAAGTTCATTCGAGATAAAACTGGAGAGGGTTGCAACTTAAAATGATCTTGTTAAACTCCTGGCTGTGTAGTAAAGCTGCTTATGTTCAATTTGCAATAAAATAGAAATATGTCCTTGTAATCCAAGAGAGAATGGAGCTCAAGGACACTGTCAAGTTTGGAATCTGAAGATTTATTTTGTATGGCCATTATACCATATTTAAAACTCATAAAAAGAAAGTCAGAACAAGCTTCTAAATGTTGATTTGTGTGTACAGCACTAAATCCTCGTAAGAAATTATTCCAGTTCTTCCTGGTAAAATGTGCATCAAATTGCTCAGGTGAAGGAGAAAGGAATGAAGACCTGGGCTTTTCTCTGAGTTCTGCCACTTACTAGATGGTAGACCCCACATCGAACAGAACCACCTCTCTGAGCTTCAGTGTCTTCATCTATGCATGAGAAGATAATTCTTGAGGTGTTAATTTCTGCTTTAACATCCCATGAGCTATCATGTACAATTTCTGTTTTAGCCTAAGTCCCAAACAAAATTGAAAACAACAACACTTAATTCTATCTGTTCAGAGAAGGCCACTGACACACCAGAAAGAGCAAGAAAGGGAAACCAACTACAGCCAGAGTGTGTCAGCCATCCCTTCTCCCACCCACACACTTCAGTTGTCATGGAAACATGTGTCTCTCTCAGCCATAACAGAAACACTGGAAAGCTCTCATCAACTCACATCCTGATCCTGTGACCTCCTGTCCTAGCCCCCTCTCTATTTACAAGTTCTGAATTCCTCAGAATTCTTTGGGGCTCACAGAGGCCTGTCCACTGTTGTAAAATGATGAGCTCAAGGCCAAAAGAAAAAGGATTGTTTTGTAGTTGGGGGATCAAAGTCGGGACTGTGTGTCTTTGGGATTCTCATGATGCAAACTGAAGCTTTAAGGGTTTCAAACACTGTAAAGCAACCACTCAGACAGGAATCAGAAACTGAACATTACAAACTTAAGGCTTAGTTTATGAAGTTTAAGCACATGTACACTGGTATAAAACACACCAATAAAGGTAAATATATAGTCAATTTCAAGATACTCTACTACTGGAATATAATGGTGTATAAATCACTTAACTCGAATAGAAAAGTTAAAGGACAGAAGTACTAAAAATAACTTTAGCTGCAATAACTGGTTAATGATACACACATAGAAAGAGGTCTATTATGACACCAAAAACATAAAACATGGAGATGTAAGTAAAAGGGTAGAGTTTTTGTATATGATCAAAATTCAGTTGTTATCAGCCTAAAATAAGCAATAAGATATTTTATGTAAGCCTCATGTAACCACAAAGCAAAAACCCACAAAAGATAAAGAGAAGGGAGTCAAAGCATACCACTATAGAAAATCAATTCACAAAGGAACATAGCAAAAGAGGAAGAAAGGAACAAGGGAACAGCCAAAAAAACAATTAATAAGATGGCATTAGTAAGTCCTTACCTATCAATAATTACTTTAAATATAAATGGATTAAATTCTCCAATCAAAAGGCATAGAGGGAATGAATGAATTAAAAAAAAAAAATGCTGCTACACACTGCTCCCTACAAGAGATTCACACCAGCTTTAAGGACACATACATCTTAAGGAATGGAAAAAGATACTCCATGCAAATGGAAACCAAAAGAGAGCAGAGTTAGCTATACTTATATCAGATAAAATAAAATTTAAGTCAAAAACTGTAATAAGAGACAAAGAAGGTCATATACTGATAAAAGGGTCAATTCATCACTGATAAAGGGGGATATTCATCAGACTATAACAATTGTAAATATATACCTCTATACTCTATGTCTCTATATCTATCTCTCTCTAGAGAGAGAGAGAGAGATCCAATATCAGAGAACCTAATATTAAGCAAATACTAACAGATCTGAATGAAGAAATAGAAGTAATTTAATAATAGTAGGGAACTTTAGTATTCTACTTTCAACAATGGATAACTTATCCAGACAGGAAATCAGCAAGGATACACTGAACTTGAACTATGCTTTAGACCAAATGGACCTGAAAGACATATCAGAAATCCCACCCAACAGAGCAGAACACACAGTCTTCTCAAATGCATACAGAACATTCTCAAGGCTAGATTATATATTAGGTCACAAAACAAGCCTTACAAATTTAAGAAGATTAAAATCATACCAAGTATCTTTTCTCACCACAATGGTATGAAACTAGAAATTCATAACAGGAAGAAAACTTGAAAATTCACAAGTAGTGGAAATTAAACAATACATGCTTGCAAAACTAATGGGTTAAAGAGGAAATCAAAAGGGAAATAAAAAAAATATCTTGAGACAAATAAAAATGGAAATGCAACATAATAAAACTTATGGGATATAGCATAAGTAGTTCTATTTTTTTTCTTTAAAGATTTTATTTATTTATTTGTCAGAGAGAGAGAGAGGGAGAGAGAAAGGTAGGCAGAGGGAGAAGCAGGCAGAGAGAGAAGCAGACTCCCCATTGAGCAAGTAGCCCGATGTGGGACTTGATCCCAGGACCATGGGATCATGACCTCAGCTGAAGGCAGACACTTAAGCAACTGAGCTACCCAGGCATCCCCTGCAAAAGTTCTAAGGGAATTTTATAGCAATAAACACCCACATTAAGAAGAAAAAAGAAAGATCTCAAATAAACAACCTAACTTTACACCTCAAGGAACTATAAAAGGAAGAACAAACTGAAATGAAAGATAGTAGAAAGAAAGAAATAACAAATATCAGAAACACTATGGAAAAGATCAACAAAACTAAGAGCTAGTTTTTTGAAAAGATAAACAAAATTGACAAACCTTTAGCTAGATCAAGGAACAAAAAGAGAGAAGACTCAAATAAATAAAATCAGAAAGGAGAGGTGACATTACAACTGATACCACAAAAATACTGAAGATCTAAGAAACTACTATGAACAATTAGACTCCAACAAATTGGACAAGTTAGAAGAAATGGCTATTCCTAGAAACGTACAACCTACTAAGACTGAATTATGAAGAAATAGAAAATCTAACAGGCCAATTAAGAAAAAGAGATTGAATCAATAATCAAAAACATCCCAACAAACGAAAGTCCAGTACCAGACAGCTTCCCTGGGGAATTCTACCAAAGGCTTAAAGAAGAATCTATATAAATCCTTTTCAAACTCTCCCAAAAATATTGAAGAGAAGGGAATACTTCCAAACTCATTTTAAAAGGCCAGCATTACCCTGATACCAAGGTCAGATAAAAACACTACAAAAAAAAATAAATAATTACAGGCAGTTATCTCTGATAAACATGGATATTCAACAATACATTAAAAGGTTCATACACCATGATCAAGAGAGATTTATTCCTAGGATGCAAAAATGGTTCAACATATGCAAATCAATCAATGTGATACACCACATTAATAAAATCATGTGATCATCTCAATAGATGTAGAAAAAGCACTGGACAAAATTCAGCATCTCTTCATGAAAAAAACCTCTCAACAAAGTATAGATGGACTATACCTCAACATAAAAAAGCCCTATATGATAAGTCCATACCTAACATTACATTCAAAGATGAAAAGCTGAAAGTTTTTCTTCTAAGATCAAGAACAAGACAAGGAAGCTCACTGCACCCCATTTCTATGCACCATAATACAAGACAAAGCAATCAGACAAGAAAAAGAAATAAAAGTTATCCAAATTGGAAAGGAAAAAGTAAACTGTATCTGTTGCAGATGATATGATCTTATATACAGAAAGTCCTAAAGATTCCACCAAAAACGGTTAGAATTAATAAATTTAGTAAAGTTGCAGGACACAAAATCAATATGCAAAAGTTAGTTGCATTTCTATACACTAACAACAAACTATTTGAAAAAGAAATAAAGAATCCCATTTACAATGTGATCAAAATCAATAGTTAGGAATAAATTTATTCAGGAGGTGAAAGATCTGCATGTTGAAAATTACAAGACATTGATGAAAGAAATTGAAGACACAAATACATGGAAAGATATCCCATGTCCTCTCCTATATCAGAGGAATTAATATTGTTAAAATGTCCATACTATTCAAAGCCATCTATAGATCCAATGTAATCCCTATCAAAATTCCAATGGCAACTTTCACAGAAACAGAAAAAAAAATCCTAAAATTTGTATGGAACCACAAAAGATCCCCAATACCCAAAGCAACCCCGAGAAAGAACAAAGCTGGCGGCATCACACTTCCTGATTTCAAATTATATTATAAAGCTATAGTAATCAAAACAGTACTAGCATAAGAATAGACATATAGACCAATGGAATAGAACTGAGAGCCCAGAAATAAACCCACACATATATGGTCAACTAAAATTTGACATGGGAACTAAGAGTACTTAATGAGAAAAAGACAGTTTCTTTAACAGTGTTGGGAAAATTGGATAGTCACAGACAAAAGTATGAAATTAGACCTCTGCTTTACACCACTCACAAAAATTAACTCTAAGTAGATTAAAGGCTTAAATGTAGACCTAAGACCATAAAACTCCTAGAAGAAAACACAGGGAAAAAATTTCTTGACATCAGTATTGGGAACCATTTTTTTGGATATGACACCAAAAGCCAAGTAACAAAAGCAAAAATAAACAAGTGGGACTACATCAAACTAAAGAGTTTTTGTACAGCAAAAGAAACAATCAACAAAATTAAAAGGCAACCTAAAGAACAGAAGAAAATATTTGCAAACCATATATCTGATAAGGGGCTAATATTCAAAATATATAAGGAACTCACACAACTCAATAGCAAAACACAAATAATCTAACTAAAATGGGCAGAGGACAGAATAAACATTTTTCCAAAGAAGATATACAAATGGCCAAAAG